TCATTTGGCTTGTGAATACAGATTTCTTTTTATATTTCTTGCTATGGAGAATTTAGAGCAACCTTCCGTTTACAAGTAGTACATGTCTCCTTGGAAATACATTTTCATGTTTTTCCCCCTCTATAGGGTCTGTACATATAGAAAAGGAAAAGTGCTGTTTATGTATTTTAAATATTGCTAATGAGGCTGATTGAGGTTTTGTTATTCTGAAAATAAAGCTATATGCTTGCTTTTGTTTTGCATTTGTTAACAAACTGCATGTATTGCTTTAAGGTCCAGTTTTCAATTCAAGACAGTTAATGTATTGCCAAATTGTATCTGGAATGATTTTTGTTACATTTGAGAGCTTGCATGGATGTCAGGGCTATAATATAACAAGCCTGGACTGATGTTAAGCTTCTCAAAGTATTACCAGAGAGAAGAAAATGTTTCCAATTATTCTTAAGCTTTGTCAGTGTGATTTCAATTGCTTTTTGCTGGGCTAAGCGTGGCTGTTGTGTTGAACATTTTGAACTTTCTTCCAAGTTGCCTACTTTTAAAAATCATGTATTAAAACTTTTATTAGAATGGAGGCTATTCAGCAGTACTATCCCATCTACTGATAAAGTCCTAGCAGGGAGGCTTGTTTTAAGTTCACATTATTTGCTATGGTAGTAAATAAAATGTTTCTAATGTTTATTTGCTTAGAATACTTCTGGCATTGAAAGTTTTGTTCCAGTGGACTGCACAGTAGAATGATTGTCAAGATTGAAAGGAATATGAGGATAAAAATTTCCTGTGTTTTAATTTTTCATACATGATTCAATTCTTTTACTGTCTTCTTTCATAGTAGGAATACTTGCTGGCATAAAGACTTCAATTCATAAAGACATAATTTAAACATGTTTTGAAATAAGCCTAAATAAAACCTGTGGAAAGTTAAAAACAGACTAGGGAGTGGATGTGAGAGGGAGATAGCAACATTGATAGTGGTTTACTAACTTTAGATCTGCATGTTCCTTCTATTCATTCTTTGCTTAGTAGATTGCGAGGGTTTCAGGTAACATTTGAAGATGATACAATCTATCATACATAAAGGTATTGACATCAGTAGGAACAAAAAGCATGCAAAGAGTATAAGGTCATCTAAGCTTAGCTGGTCCATTTGTAGAACTTTTTTTTTTTTTTTTTGCATTTTTGGATGCGCTTGAAGCCTTCCTAAGCAAAAGGGTACAAAAGTAAGTTGAAAGAAAAATCTTCATCAGGGTCCAGTCCAAGCCGGAAATAAACAACATGGAGACTGCTTTAGAAAGAAGGTTGCAGTTTATTGATAGAAGCGAGCCAGACAGAAAGATGGCTCTGGAAAAAAACCTGACCACCTGTAGTAGGGAGTGGGTTTTTATACCTTCTTGGGCTTTTGTTTCGAGTTGTTCCTGTGGTATGAACTTCGACCTGAGTCTGAGTGTGCCCCTCTGGTATTCTAATGGTGGTGGGTTAACCCTATTATGTCCCAAAGGTCATTTCCTGCTTCCCTGGGGCTGTGGCTGATGACTGTTGGATTATTGGTGTGAGGAATTATTGAGTCTATGGATCTTTGTCTTTCTAATCCCAGCTTCCTGGCTCCAATCTTTCTGACAAGATTATGATATCTGCATTTCTGCAGAGCTGGTTTCTGCTTGGGGGAGGGAGACTTGGGGCTATTAAGAAAAACTGGGCCTTCTGCCTTTTTTAACACAGTATCCCTGTGTTAGAAGTAAAGTCTTCATCCTGGTTCATCCAAGCCGGGAATAAATAAGCAAACATGGCGACTGCTTTGGGAAGAAGGTTACAGTTTATTGCAGAAAGATGGTTCTTCAGGAAAGTGCAGAGGAGAGAGAAGGGCTGAGCACATGGGGCAGTAGGCTTTTATATCCCCTCTAGCCTTGTTTGGAATAGTTTCCTGTTCCTGTGGCATGAACCTTGAGGCTGTTTCTGAATGTTTGTCTAGGCCTTGATATCTCTGGTTTAATTCTATTATCATATCCTGCTTCCCAGGTGATGGTGCTGATTCCTAGAGTTTGGGTGGGGTATGCAGATCTTCTCTTTTGTCTTCTTGATTGCTCTGGCTCCAACTTTCTGATGGTTTTACATCTGCATTTGTATGGGCCTAGCTCTTGCTTGGGACAGAGAGATAGATTTGGGGCCAGGTTTTGTTTTAAAAAGTCCTTTTGAGGAAAAATATATTTTTCTGCCCTTTTTAATATTTCTTTCTCTGGGCTAACTTCCCTCACCTGTAATAAAATATATGTATTTTACAATAGACATAGGGAAAAGAGGCACAAGAAGCTGCTATTCTGGTAGAGATAGGAATTTAGAGCAAAGTACACATTCAGTATTTTCTTTCAAGATCCATGATTGAGGAGATATATTCTAGTGTTCTAATCCTGGTAGCACAAATGAAAAGAACAAAAACAGCTCAAGGTAATTATAAACCATTACAGGCGCAATCAAAATGACTGTACATTCCTGTTTGCTCCCCAGAGAGGAGAGAAACCCTACTCATAAATAGTGTTTCTTTTTCTTTTGCTGGCAGCTTTTGTACAGTCCTGCAGAATTTCTGTCACACAAGCATATAGTAAGTACTAAATTACATATGATTTTGTGTATGTTTATACACCCTTGATTGATCATCTCTGTTTAATGGCAAGGAGATGTTTAAAGTTCAAAATATAGTATATAAGTCTATAATAAATGCCCCATGGAGTACATTTTGATTACTTTTACTCAGTGGTGTGTCATACCAAATACAGGTAGTCCTTATTTATGACCACAATTGAGACCAGAATTTCTGTTATTAAGCGAGGTAGTTGTTATGTGAATCACACCCAATTTTTTGCCACAATTGTTCAGTGAATCATGCAGTCTTTAAGCGAATCTGGCTTTCCTTATTGAGTTTGCTCACCAGAAGCCGTTGGGAAAATCATAAATAGCAACTTCATGACCTCAAGATGCTGCAGCCACTGTAAATACATACTGGGTGTCTAGCAACCAAATTTTGATTAGATGACCATGGGCAAGCTATGTCAATTATAACTGAGGACTGGTTGCAAGTCAAACTTTTCAGTGCCTTTGTAACTTTGAACGGTCACTAAATGAATGTAAGTCAAGGACTACCTGTAAAGCACACCTGATATCAAAATATCACTGTAGTAGCTATGAAACAATTTGCAGCAACCTCACTACCAAAAGGACTTTCAGATTATGAGTTTGAAGTGTTAGGAGCACAATCATTTGTGCAGCTCTTTTGCCTACTTCTCCTTAAGAGATTTTGTATGAAGAGGGCAGATTTGGTGGGAAAACAAGACCAACTGCAAAGGAAAACTGATTTCTACAAACTGTGTGTACTGTGCTTGCATGTGCCCTCAGAACATAAACATTAAATTCAATATCTGATATTCTGTGGGATAAAGTAAACTGCTCTGGAATCAAAGGGATTCCCTTCTATATAGAAACTGAGAGAAATTGAGATTACCTACTTTATCCTCAGATTTTATAATCAAAGTTTAGTTTTGATAAGTTAATTGAGCAGAGATGAAGTTACAAAGAGATGTTAGATAGTGTACCTGCAAATGACTATAAGGAGTGCCAGAGGAAACTGCTAAACCAACAAGACAATTTCTGTAGGACAGAGAGAAGTTACTATGATGTAACTCTTACAGTAAAATGGGAAAGGCGGTAAAGCATCCAAGACATAATGATTTATGCCTTTTAAACTTGTTTCTGTACAAGAACCCACCCCAAGAACGGATGTACTTTGTAAGAACTGTATTAAAAGCAGTTCACCCAAGGGTGGGTGTGCATGCTTTGGGACATTTTTCACACAATGCTTTATTTGCTCAGATATATCACATTAATCCTATTCTTGGTCTGTGTTAATTGGCTTTGCATTCCGGGTCCAACAAGCCATGTTTGAGACAACAAAAAAAGGATGGCTTTGCTGTTGAACAACGGATAGTTTTGAAATCTTTTACTGTATTTCCTTAATCTCGCCAACATTATGAACGGTATTTTTTGCTTAATGACAAACGACACTTTGTTTGCAATGTCATGTAACTACAGAGCAAGTAAAGCCGCCTAAATATAACAGGAGTTACTGTTGGGTAAATTTAAATTTCATGGGTATAACTCTCTAAAACAATAATACCTGCCCATGCCATAATACCTATATGCCACATAGCACCATATTACGGCTATTGTTAAGATCAAAACAATATTTGCGCTCCTTTTTGCCTTCTATCCTCCTGTTTGGCGGGAAACATTCAGATAAGAAAAAACAACAACCCCAGTCTATGTTAACGTCTGTTTAAAAATTGAAGTCCGTCCGGACTGCTTCCCTATTGGATTACTCTTGCGTTGACATCACTACACAGTGACCAATCAGAGAACGCCGAGCTCTTTTGAAAAAAACATTCACAGGTGGGAATAGGAGTGCAATGCTTGCACTTAACAAGCTCCGGGGCTATCCAGGGTCTGGATCGGCAAACGAGGTAATCCGTTTTTTTCCCGTCCGGTCGCACAGAGACCGACGAAGAATCAACCGTTGGTCTCCCGCTTGGAGCAGACAGCGGAAGGATATACGCGCAGCTTCAGCGGCGGGGAGGAGTCGGTCGGTTTGAATGAGCGGAAGGAGAAATTTAGCGCGCGCGCGGTGCTGTCTCCGAGGCGGTGGGGGGGGGTCGTGCGCGTGGCGGGGCAGGTGAGGGACTGCTGTTTGTCCGGGTGAGAACGGCGCCTGTCGAGGGAGGCTCGGCTTTCTTTGGGGGTGACTTGCTGAAGGGCAGCGGTGCTGGGAAGAGGAGCCAAGGGGGGCTGACTGGTTCTGGGGGCAAGATGTGCCCTGAAGCGAGTTAAAGGGCTCCTTTGAATCGGGCACGAGGGAAAGAAAGGAGCCGTTGGAGTTTCCGATCGCGATATAGTGCTGGGGCTTGAGGGCAATTGAAATGTACTGAACGATACAGGATATTTAAAGAAGGGAAAGCTTGTGGGCTCCCTTGGTTTAGCCGAACTTAGCTCGCACGTGGCCCACTGATCTAGACTATCTGAGAAAAGGATTTATTTTTGCTAACGTACGATCTAAAAAGAGATAGCTCAAATCATGGCTTAAGATGAAAGCAGAAGAACAATAAATGAACGAACTGATTTTGTGCCTTATTGTGAGATAAATGGCAGTTCTGTTACGGTTCTTAGAATCCTGCAGTTCGCTGAAGCTGCGTGGAGAAGGAAGCGACGTTTTGTGTAGGGCAAATTCTTTGATGGGGTATACGATTATGGGCATGAAATTCTCCAGCAGATATCAGCATAGTACAGTAGCTTACAAAAGTACAGTAGTTTACAAAGCTCTGAATGGATTTATTCTTGAATGTGGCTACTGGTTTGTTAAATCATCTAGATTACCCAAACATTTCAAGCTGAAAGTGGTGTCAGTGGTCCAAACTCAGATAATTTTTCCACATTGGAAGATTTTACCCTGTCATCGAACAATACTGGTTTTATACCAATTTTCATTAAAATAAAGCCATTCTGAGAATGTTTCATGTGCTGTGATTGCCTTGCTATTTTAATCTAACACATACAACAAAACAGTAGGCATTCTGCTAGTACTACTAAATGAACCTAGTTGAAGAGAACTTTTAAGTAAAAGTGAGAGACATCAATTTTAGATGTTAGAAAAATATTAGTGTTTTTCAGTAAATAGGTTTATTGCTTTTTCCTTTCTATTAAGGAGTTATCAAAGGCTTCAGTTTCTGGGTTAATGTGTGCTTTTTTTTTTTCTTTTACAGGTACAATTGTAGATAGAGAAATGTAAACTTGCAGTTCATGCAGGAAACTTCCCCAGCATTTAATTCAAGCAGGTAATGTCAGGCTTAAAATCAGACACACCACTTACAAGTTTGCTACTCACTCTGCACATTGGCCTGCTTCTCAATTCCCTTGCCCTTTTTCTGATCTCCCAAGGTGCCCTCCCAGTTCCAGGAGGCACGAAATCAACTTCAACTAGGGGTGTAAAACTGGCAGCCCGTGGGCCGGATGCATCACATGCAGGCCATGCCTACCTGGGCTCTGCAAAGGCAAAAAAAGTCTCAATAGGTCATGTGATATGATCGAGTTTGACACCCATGACCAGTCCTAGAGAGTAGTTCAAGGTCCAAGGTCCAAGCCTGTTAAGGTCTCTGAACATTCTGTCGGAAATAGTTCATTGGGAGCAATGTAGTCTACCAACCACTCTGTACTAGTTTGCATTTACATTCCAGACAACATTAAAAGGATTATCTGGCACAGGGAATACTCGCCTAATATTTAAAACCACTGAGATCGCTAACTATAATTCTAATCCAGATGTAAGATAATAAAATGAGTAAATTTAAGTTCCGGGACCCAAAGAAGAACAAATTTGTGTTGAAGTAAGTCTTCATTGACTTTCTGGAGAAGCCAGCAGAAAAGATGGTAGATGGTGACCCATGATCTCAGGGTGCCTGGCAACTGTTTGTAAGTGCAAATAGGTTGCAAGTACCCAGATCACATGACCAGGGGAAGTGGCACAATACTTTGACAGCCGGAACTCCATTATAGACTTAAAACACACATTCCCAGTAGTCATAACATAATGTAAATTTTTTCTATTCAAAAACCTGTGACCTTAGTTGAGATAGCAAATGATATGCACAACCATGAATTTTCTATATACTGTCACCAAAGTATGTTGAAATTTGCAGTAATTTTTTTATATTTTTTCCTTAGAGGTAAGATATACAAATGTGAAAATGCCAGTTTTTGGGAAAATAGTTGTTATTAAGAGAAATGGGACCGATGGAACTTACTTTCCGCTCACTGCAAACTCTTGTTTGTTTGGAAGGTAAGACTTTAAATTGGTAAGGGGTTTATTTGTATAGGATTTTCATTATGTAATTGTGATGTAGGACTGTCTTTTTTATAGCAGAACTTCAGGGAGTATCATAACTTATTTTCTCAGACTTTTTCTTTGTGACTTCTATATAATTTACATAGTCGTGCAGTGTATGTCACTTATAATGGATCTGATCTGCTTCAGTGTATATTTATGCAAGACATTTGTCTAATCAAAAATGTAAATGTGTTTTAGAAGTTCTTAAAACTCAACCTAAAAATCAGCTTGTCTCAATGCATCTTTGGCAACAGTTGCATTGCCTTGCTATACTAAGTGGAAATGAGTTAGAGTTCACAATATATTTTAAGAGATGTGCGTATAAGAGCATATAATTGTATAATTTGAATGGATAATCTTGTAATTATTTTATTTTAAAGGAAAAAAGAATGTGATATTCGAATCCAGCTGCCTCAAGTTTCTAAAGAACATTGTAAAATTGAAGTCAATGAAAATAAAGAGGTATATATTATTATTTTTGGTACTTATGCAAGCCTAATATTTCTGGTATTTGTGTTTTATTGATTGATCTGGATATACATATTTTATTCCTATGTATTTTTAGGCAGTGCTGTTTAACTTGAGTTCTGCGAATCCAACACAGCTAAATGGGAATCACTTTCAGGATCCCGCACACTTAAAACATGGAGATATACTGACAATTATTGATCGTTCTTTCAGGTATGTAACAATAATATAATCAAATATGGGTGTGCTAGAAATAGGCTGTGTCAGCCAGTGATTTTTAGAAACCTGAAGAATAAGGAAATTTTAAAATAATTTGATGGATGGGGAAACTCCCCAAACAGGAAAACAGATTATATAAAGAGTAAATAAACTATTAGTTTAATATTGTACTAGAGTTGGAGATGAAAACAGTAACAATTTTGAATAAAGTGGATTTAATAACTTCTTAAAGTCTTAATAACTTAAAGTTGGATTGATTTTAATTTAAGCAATCTTTGGACTTGAATAGGTTTGAATATTCACCTCCCTCACTTCCTCAGAAGAGACTTTCTAAATCTCAAGAGAAGGAAACATTACAGGTGAAATAAAAATAATATTTTCCTTAATTTGGGGAAGGAGGGAGTAATAAAAATGTAGAAATTAATAAATGGTATGTTGCTCTTTGGCTTGATTTAGTAATTGGTCATTACCAGTTACATTTCACTTTTAGTTATTCTATTCCACATATTTAACTATAATTTAGAGAAAAAACATTTCGTATTGGTGTTGGGCTTTAGAAAATTAAGACATTTTCTCTGGTCTGTTACTTCTTATGTTTTCCACAAGGAAAAAGAAAGGGAATTAGTGCTGTAACTTGACAATTGATTTATGAGTCATTGAGATTTAGACAGTGGCATTAGTTTTTATATGTACAAAATCTAATCTTAATTTGAATTTTCTTGAATGGTATAATATTGCAGCCTTAGATGCTACATGCTTATATTCAGAGAACTACTGTAAATATGTTTCTTTCACTGTAAATAATTAGTTCTTATACATAGAACTTTGAAGTAGGGGTCCATTAGTTTTGGGAAAGCTCATGAGTTTTGGAAAGCATAGTAATGGTTTACCAATGAATGTCCATATTAAAATCTAAAATTCATTTCAAAATTCTAAAGTCTTGAGTTAGTCCTGATAATTATAGACTGCATAGTACTCTTTGCTTCAGATAAGAGGTAAATGAAATATTACATTATCTTTCATTTATTCTAAGAAGTTACCAATGGAAACCTGTTTTAAAGAAAAAATGGCAAGCTTAAAAGAAATATTAAATTCCTTGTTCTATTGCGTTGTGTTTAATTTAACAGATTCTTCAGGTTCAGCATATGCAACAGATGGACTTGCTGCATACACAAAACTCAGATTACAAAAGTTTTCCAATTACTGGTTTGTAATTAATTTGTTTTTTTATATAAGTGCTTCATTATATTAATGACTTTTTATTAATAAAAGAATGTATCAGTGTAAAACAAATGAAAACCATTAGGAATTTGCTGTTAAAATACATGAATGGATTTGGTTTAATTGATGAATTGTTTTCTGAGCCTGTAAGTCACCCAGTTTCTGAGTATATACTAAGTCATGATAATTAAGAGCTGAGAAACAGGCTAGTCTTAAAATTATATTAGAAATAATATTTCACAGCTGATTACATTTTAGAGAATGACCCATATATTTTCTTGTCTATTAACTAACTTTCATAAAATAGCTTATAAACACATCTATTCCTTCAAATTCTCTGAACCATGCTTAAAGGGAGAGTGATTTGGAAAATTACAAATAATTTGCTTGCATATCTTTATACCTCTTTGTTAGGCAATTACAAATAAAATTTAGCTTCTATAAGAATTGATTTATTGAACTTAATAGAATTGTACAAATCCTTTGAAGGAGGTAAATTGTAATTATGCAGATCTGTCCAAAGCACATCTCTTATGATCACAAAAGCAGTCATATATATTTCTAGGTTCATGCAGTTCCTTCCTTAATGTTTTCTAGCTGTTACCATTGAGAACATTTTCAAAATGGGCAGCCACAAGTATGTGGAGATTGTTGGAAGCAGTTTACAAAGCTGTTGCTTGAGGCTGGAAAAAAATTGACTGCTTTCTGATTTGAAAAAAAGATGCTGTGTGCTGTGAAGCACTTTTTTCTAAGGATTTGTAAATCTTTGCTTAATTCCTCAAAAATTGCTTTCTGATTAGTACTTTATATAATGCTTCAAAAATAGTTTTAACTTTATCCAAGAAAATAGATTTTAAAAACTGCTTGTTTCATATTCCTCTAGGCAAGAAATTTGAAACTTGCTCTCCTAGAAAAAGCGAGAAAAGACTTCAAAAACAATACAGCGCACCTGGAAAAACAAATGAGCTGTCTCCTTTTAGCAAACTTTATGAATTAATGAAACATGAAAATGGCACAGACAATGTAAAGGATAATACTGGTAATGAGACTTTGCTGGAAGATGTATTTCACTCAAGATCTAGGAGGTCTGCAGTGAATCGAGCAAAGTTGACTAAAATTGAACATTCTGAAGATAGTAAAATTCAAGAAAAGAGTGGCATTGTAACAAGTCCAATACCAGTATTTGAAGAGAAGAACTCCAAAAAATCAAGTATTCAAAATTGTGATATACAACAGAAACAAGAATGTAAAGGTACAAATCAGTCAGATTTTCACGACATAGAAGATAATGAAATGGGAAAAGACCAAATAATGAGAGGTGCTAATAAGGATACATATTTTAAAGCAAATCTGCAGAGTGCACAGCATTTCCCTGAATCACATTGTATAGTGTCGATGGACTATACAAAAAAGGCTAAGTGCCTTAACAAATTTAACTTAACAGATGCTTTCACATCTGTAGAAAATACTTTGTCCAAAGCAAAGTCTAGCAGGGAGAGTATACAAAATTACTCCAGTCCATGTTCTAGAAACTCTCGAAGATCTTCCAAGTCCAGAAGGTCATGGGTTGAAATAGATTCACTGAACAGAATGAAGAGCTCTGGAGAAATGGAAGAGTGCTCCGTACAAGTTAGTGGGCAGGAGCATGAATCTGGTATTTTGATTGGAAGTATATATTCTAACAAAAATGAAAATAGAGAATTGGTCACAGAAACAGCACTGAATCTGAAAGATTCAGAAGATGGAAGTTGTAGTACAGTTTATAGTTCACTTCATTTTGATACTAGTAAAAGCTGCAATAACAACATTGAACTAAATAAAAATATTTCAAATGAATATTCACGTACAGAGGCAATAGATACAGTATCAATAATCACTGCAGATCTTTTTCAAACCAGTGAAATAGTGACAAATCAAATTCCTGAAAGAACCTTGGAAACAGAAAGTCCTACAAATGAAAATAAAATAGGAATAAAAGACCATGACCAGAATGTTAATATGAAAAATGATATACTTACTTTTTCCAGTTCTCATGAAAGCAGTGTCCAAACATCAGCCAAGGTTAATGCTGCTTTTGAAATTAATTTGTTATGTCCACTTAATAAGTCAGGTAAATATAGTTTCTTTTTATACCAAAAAGTATCGTTCCTTTTTGCTGTCTCCAGTAACTTTGGTTAAGATAAAACAAATTGTTTATCAGCTTATTTTTTCTGTCAGTTAATTGGCTTGTTTGACATGGTTACTAGAAACAGATTAAATTGTTTGAAATGTTAATGCCTTAATTATGATTGAAACTATTGATACCAGAAGTGTAAAAGGTTTATAGAGTTTTTAAAAATTAACCCAAAGGTGCTTTTTAATGAGGCAACTGGACTTTCTTGTTTTTTTCTGCTGAAAGGACTGTATTGTAGGCTGGAGATAGATGATGTCATATCCCTCCCCCTATTGAGAGGGCTGTTAAATTGAGGGGGAGGGATATGACATCTATCTCCAGTCTAAACACAGTCCTTTCAGCAGTTCCAACAAAGGCTCCATACTCATTTGCACTACTCAAGTGACCCTGATGGCCAATAAACCTCCAGGTGGTCTCAACAACTCTAAAAGAATGCAAATGACCAGATGTCCACAAGGAGTATAAATCTTTCTATTTCTCACCATCCAGTCAGAGTTGAAGAAGCTTCTTGAATGAGAAGTGAAATGTCTTCAAAGAAAAACAAGAAAACCCAGTTGCTTGTGAAAAAGCACCTTTGGGATAACTGACCTGGATGACCGAGAATCTCCATAAACATTTTTAAAATTAAGCAATTGTATTGAGAGTGCAAACTTTTTAATTGTATTGATGTTGTAAGACAATGTGTTCACTTTGATATAATTTACTCTTCATTTATAGAGGCTAAGAAATCACCTCAAAAGCGTAGAAGTAAGGAGCTAGATTTTCTAGTCCAACCACTTGGAAAGAGGAAGAGAGTGTCTTTTGGTGGCCAACTGAGTCCTGAACTCTTTGATAAGCGCTTACCTCCAAACTCGCCACTTAAAAAAGGGGCCATTCCAGCAAGACTAAGCATGCCATATGGAAACTCACCACGAGCAGTTCTGAAAAGAGTTGCAGAATTGAGGCAGTCTGTAATACAGGTATCTGATTGACTGAACAGCTGATTAGTAGGATTATTTATATTTTAACTAAAGAATTGCTCTTGCTCCCCTAACAATATTTATGTATGTATTTGTCTAAACTTTACTAGTCTTCATACTGGAAACTTTGTATTTTAAATAATGTATCTTTAAAAATATGTTCAAACAACTGATCAGAAATTTGAAATCGTAGAATTTAGAAAATTCTTTGGGGGGGTATGTAAGCCATGAATTCTTAGGACATCTAAATATTCCCCTATAATTCCTTCTGCAAAGAATTGGTGATATATTGCATCTGAGTGCTTCTATTTAAAGATTTGATGATTTTATTTCAGTCGTATAATGGCAAGATAGGTAGCAAATAAATTTAATAAATAAAATTGATAAATTCATTGATAAAATATTTATGTCTATTTTATTATTAGATACTCCCAAAACAAAATTGGATAAAAAATGTTTTAAAAAATGAAATACTCTACAGCAGAGATACAAGTAGCCACCTGGTTATTTCTTGTGAATGACCTACAAATGTAGCTTTATACAATACATTTGAAATCAGAATTTATACTATTGACTTCTATTTTTAACTTGGGGCATTTTCAAAATAATAAAGAACATTCATCTTAAAAGCTTACTAGATATTTATTTGAGAAAGCAAATTTCTCAAAATTATTTCATAGAAAAGTGGAGTGCTTGGAAATGTTTGTAGATACCTGGAAAATGCATACAGAATGTTCTGTCTCTGGAGACAGTGTTCCAAGAAAGTCTGCTCCAGGGCTACGAATCACTCCTTGCCCTGGATTATTTACTTCCCAAAAACTGCTAAACCATCCCCAGAATGGCCAGATCTGTGTGGTCTGATGAAGATGGGACAATGCCTAAAAATAGAATAGAGTAGAGCAGAGTAGAATAGAGCTGGAAGGAACTGTGGAGGTCTTCTAGTCCAGCCTCCTGCTTAAGTAGGAGAACCTATACCATCTCAGACAAGTGATTGTCTGAGGGAAAGCTGTTCCACTGGTTAATTGTCCTCACTTTTAGGAACTTTCTTCTTAATTCCAGGTTGCTTCTCTCTTTGATCAGTTTCCAACCATTGTTTCTTGTCCTGTCTTCTGGTGCTTTGGAGAATAATTTGACCTCTTTGTGGCAGCCTCTCAAATACTGGAATAGAGCTATAGTGTCACTCCTATGTCTTCTTTTCTTTAGACTAGCCAAACCCAAGTTGTGCAGCCGTTCTTCATAGGTTTTAGTCTCCAGGCCTTTGATCATCTTTAGTTGATCTTCTCTAAACTTTTCCCAAGGTCTCAACATCTTTTTTGTAGTATGGTGACCAAAATTGGTTGCATTATTCCAGGTGTGGTTTCACTAGGGTTTTATAAAGCGGTACTGATACTCGTGTGATCTTGATTCTGTGCCTCTGTTTATACAACCCAGGATTGTATTAGCTTTTTTGGCGGTGGCTGCACATTGCTAGCTCATAGTCAAGTGATCGTCCACTAGGGCTCCAAGGTCCCTCTCACAGTTACTGTTTTTGAGCCAGGTTTCCCCTAATCTGTACTTACGTCTTTGATTTTTTCCTGCCTAAATGAAAAACTTTGCTTTTCTCCACATTAAAACTCATTTTGTTGGATAGGGCCCATTGTTCACGTTTGTCAAGATCTTTTTGAATACTGAGCTTCTCTGCTGGGGTGCTGGCTATTTTTGCCAGTTTAGTGTCATCTGCAAGTTTGATGAATTCTGTTTCTATTCCCTCATCTAAGTCATTGATGAAGATATTGAAGAGTACCGGGCCTAAGATGGAGCCTTGTGTACACGACTGCTTACTTATCTCCATGTGGATGTAGTACCATTGAGCTGACTTCTCCTTTTTTATATACTGCTTCTTCACATCTTTTCATAGTTTCATAAAGTAGCTAGTAATAGATTTGGAAAGAAGTTAATTTTAATTTAGGTTAAAAGAAATTAGCAAATAAAAAATGTTTAGAGCTAAGTATAGTGTGATTTTATTTGATTTTTATGCTGTCACAGTCTTTCGGACTATTGATGGTAGAATATTAGTGTTTCATTTCAACAATGAAAAAATACAATTTAAATTTCAAAACCAAAATTGAAGTGCGAGAGAGGAGGAATAACAAGAAGAACTGGTCATATTATTCAAATGCTGTTAATAAAATTTCCATTTTCAATAATTTCCTAAAATCTATTGAAGGAATCCACTTTTCATAGTTTGGTGCTGCTACAAAAAAAAGAGCCCCTCCCTAGATGCTCTATTAGGTTGCGTAGAAACTGGTTAGAGGAGGCTCCTCCATAGATGCTCAAGTGCCAAGTTATGAAGAATATTAACACTAGCACTTTAAATTGTAATTGTAGCTGAAATGGTAACCAGTGCAGGGTCTGCAATGTATGTGTGATCTGCTCCCATTCTTGGAAACTAAGACATGCTGCCTCACTCTGGACTAATTATAATAATCTCATAGTTTTCAAAGGCAGCCCCTTATAAAGTATTGTGGGTTTTTTGTGAATATCTAATTGTTTAATTCATTTTTCTGAGCAGTTTTGAAGGAAATAGATATGATTGCTGTTTCTTCAAAATCTAAAGTTTAATTTTTTTGTGTGGGTTACCTGTTTGTTTTCCTGCAGGGTTCCTTTGAGAGGAAGCAATACGAAAATAGTGTGCCAAAGCAAGCTGCCTCACAGTGTGTCTCTGATCCTCATGTTGCAAGTCTATCTTCAGAGGGTGAAGAAACCACTACACAAGAGATGCATGCAAATAGCTTATTCAGTGAAGTTAAACAAACAGTCTCTAACACCACTTCATCATTAAGAAGGAGCAAAGCCTGTACTCCAAGGAGAAGTTCTATACGTGGAAAAAGTGGAGCTATGGGTACTATTCACTCCAAACGACGAAGTGGTGCTTCTGAAGCCAATTTGATGGGTGTGTTACAATTGTATCTATTGCTAGATAATTTACAAAAACAGAATTAAATCTTTTATGTTTCAAACACAGTATAACTTGATTATATATCGGATATTTTATTAAAAATGATTAAGATGAATAATCTTCAACAATTGTTGTTTTAGTTGCGAAGTCTTGGGCAGAAGTAGTAAAACAAGGTGTTCCAAAACTACAGCTGAAGTCTGCTTCAAAACAGGGGTTTAAAACAAGATCAATGAAGAACGTGGCTTCAAAATCATCAAAGGTATAGTCAAAACAGATAATGGTATAAGTAATAACTTTTTTGCAAGTGCTGGACTTCAAGAATCTGGACTCTTAAGTACTGCGAAGATTCTTTTGATGCTCTGTTAATCCTAAACAATTGTTTACCTTTTATTAATGGAAAATCACCAACAGTTTTAATAGAAGATATGGGGTAATTTGAAAAATTCAACCTATTTTAAAACAGTTTAAGATCTTTTACTGTTAATTGAAGACAAATATTCTATTTAGTGCAACATTTTAGAGAATAAAAAGGACCTGAATTGCCATGATGAAGTATAAAGGTGGGAATGCACATTTTAGAAATTGCTATTTCTAAAATAAAATGAATTGAGGAAAATAATGGATGAACTATATCTAATAAAAAATAGAAAGAAAGCATATGTAGCAACCATGAGATAAGTGGGATATGGATATTACCCATAGGCAAAAAGTAGCAATTTCAAATAGCCATGCTTGCCACTCAAAACAGATTAAATAAAGTAAGCTAAATAATTTTTAAAAAACTGCTTCCAAAACAGCTAACAGAAATAGCTGAAGTAGATGTAAGTAAACGTAAATTTCACTTTTCTTGCTTAAAAGCAAAATAATGGTAGCTTTCACTGTAATAGGGGTTAAGTCAAAAAAAATATATGCTGAAATTGATTAACCAGAATATATATCAGCATCATTAAGCCTTCCAAAGCAGTGTTAGCTACTAAAATAAATACATTACATGATTACAATATTTAACAAATATTGATATTACCAAAATTCATATTACGAATGAATTAATGAAATGTATTTAATACTTCTAAATGTGATAATCATCACAATCATAAGAACTTACGTGCTTTAATTTTTCTCAGTCATGAAATAATAGAAATAAGAAGCATGATTGTAATAGCTTTGCAGTTACTATACTGCTTTTCAAACAACACATGAATTTTTCAGTTTATTATGAGAGAAATGAGGCAGTGGCTGAATAGCAACTGAGATAAAAGCTCAGAATATATTGTTTCTTTTCAGCAGTAAAAAAAAAGGTTGCAAGGAAATGTAGGTAACATGCTGAAAATACTTTCTGTGCAAGGCAAAGTTTTGTGATATCGTCCTGTGCCAGGGCCCAAATATAACTGCCCAATGAGACTATTAGTACTTTGGTTTAGAATACTGGGGAGTGACATCGACAATACAATTAAAATGAAAGTGCCTGTGTTGAATAAGACCTCAAGTCTCCACGCAATTATATCAACTGACTTACAGCCCATCCAATATGTTTAGGCTGTCTTATCTGCAGCTAATGAAAGTTGGCATTGTTCCCCTTCTTCAAAGAGGGGCTACACTAAGAATTGTATTATTTTATTATGTATGGAGGAGAAGAAAAGTGTTGTAGTCACAGATGAGGGTGAGATTTTCAAGCCAAAAATGTTGCTTAATTTTTCAGCAAAAAACCATCCTAAATGAATTAATGAAAGCCAGGCGAAAATACAAATTTAGACATATTTGAAAATTTAAATGAAGTATTTTTAAATGCCTATGGAGATTCTCAGCTATCTGGGCCATGGTTGTGCCAAAAAATGCTTTTCAAAAGCATTTTTGCTTTTAAAGAGCATTTTTGACACAACCATGGTTTTTTCCATGAAAATGTTTCGCTTCAATTCTGAAGAAGCTTCTTGGATAAGAAGCAAAACATTTGCAAGGAAAAAAAAACAAAGTCCAGTTGCCTTTTGAAAAGCACCTTTGGGACAGCATTTTTAAAGTTTATACCTAATACATTTATGACAATATTTATAGTTGATTTCAGTTTTGTTGGAAGAAAATTAGAAAAGACTTCTTCCTAGTCTTCTCTCCCAAGTCATCTTTGCCTTGAACTTCTGAGCTTCCAGTTTTCTGAACTAGTGACTATCTTTTCTACTTGTGCCTCACCTACATAAATTCGACAATCTCTTTTCTGCAGCCCATCACTGCCTGATTCTACTACCCCATCAGATCTGGCAGATATCCTAGAAAAGACTATTGAACCTTGAGGTGCTTGTTTTCTATGAACTTTTGTTCTTTTACCAATTTCCAACTTCTCAAACTTATCATTTTAATACTTATAAAAAAAACTCTAAATAGTTCTACTTCACTGCAAGAACTTAGCTGCTCTATTTAATACTTCTCCGTTCCACCTCTCCACTTCTGGTATATGTGTCATAGGGTATATGCTGCTATGGAACATGCTAATAGTGAATAGTAGGCACAAACTCCTCTCACAGTTATTTAAAACTCTTCTCTGTTGAAACATTCTCGTTTTTTCTTTATGTACTACAGTGCAATGCACTGTACTGACTTGACTATACCTGAGATGATCTAGTAATTTTTAAAAAGTGAATCTTCTAAACTGTAAGTGACCATATAATGAATCCAAAAAAATGGCTTCCTTTCTGACAATTTTTATTTTTTAAAAAAATTGGATTGAATTGGATAAAAAAATTGGATTAGTGTCATCTGGAAGGAAAAAAGAAGTTCCCAATGTTTCTTGGATTGTTCTGCCTCCAGAACGTTGTTTGCACATTATTGTATTCTTCCCTTTCTTTTTATTGTTCCAGAATTGTTTGAAGAAAACCTGGTGCAGTTTCGGCCTATACAAATTCTCCAATTAAAAGTTTTCTCAAAAGATCATACGACATATTACCCAGAATTGAAATAAATGTGAAATCTTCTATTATCACTAGAGTTTTAAATTTATATTTGTATATATAGTGGCATGTTTCATTAAACTGGTATTTAATATGTTCTGTTTTTAGAATAACAATTTAGCAAAAACACCAAAAAGAAAAATCAGCGGTCATTTTTCAACAGGACATGCAAATTCTCCTGCTCCAATTGTGATTGGAAAAGCTCATACTGGAATTTTGAACGTAACTGCACAAGTTCCTAAAGTGGTGATTAATTATCCTTTGAAACAGCATTGTGACCTCAATGACAGTTTTACAGGTAAACTTTTAGACTTCATTTAATGCAAGTTTGTGTGCCAAATAACATGAGTTCATGTTTCCTGTTTAAAAATAAAATATGTCATAGAGAAAAAACCTTGTATGTTATATGATAAACTATTTTGTATAACTGTGACACTATGTAGAGCCAATCAGCAATATATAGTATTTAACCATGATAATAATAATTGCTTTATCAAGATTCAAAAAAAAATGTTATCCTATACCTTAGAATGTCATTTATTTATTGCAGTTTACTGTATGTTTCCACCATCTCAACATAGCGATTCTGGGTAGCTTATAGCATTTAAAAACAGAACAGCAAAATAAAATACACAATCAGCAACCAAGTTAAAAAGCAATCAAACAACAATTAACATAGTCAGAGTGGGGTAGGTCTTTTTGAACTGAACTATGAGTGAAGGATAATATGTACAGATACTGTTTTATAAACTCTGTGCTGATAATCCATTATCCTGGTTTACCTGCTTGCTGTTGATCCCAGCAATTGATGATGGATGGATATAGTACTGCTATGAATTGCTTTGTTACTGATTTAGAAAAAGTGCCTTAGAGCAGACATGCACAAATAATTGCATATCCAACACTTGAAAGCAGCTGTATGTTTTCCTAGGAGTGTACAGTTGCTTTTCTGATGTGCTATGTGATACAGATGCTTTAAAGAGCTACAGAAAAACATTTTCATTCTGCACACTAGGGACATCCCTTAAATCTATACAAAATATTTTTATCTTAACATTTGCTGAAACATTTGCCCTCAAAGCATCTCATGGATAAATGATGTGAGCTCTGTGAATGTTGGGGTTCTTCAGGCAAATAATATAAATAGATTTATGTGATAAATTTGCTTTATGCTCCTAAGTCTGTTGAGGTAATATAAATGGAAATATCATATTGCAGTGGTTTTTTAAATACTAGTGCACATGCTCTTAAATTTTGTCATCTTAATGTTCAGAAGAAATTCAGACATATTAGTGCCTTTTTTTGAGGTGAGCAGTCATCTTTTTAAACTAAAATAATATGATTGCATTTGAGCAGTCTGCAGAGAACAAAAAGCATACAGAAAATTGGCAAAGAGATGATTGTTTAGAAAAAACCCACCAAATATCAAAAGGATAGTGAACTAATGAAAGGATATTTAATAAAATATAGATAAATAATATGAATTATGTAAAGAAATGCAAATAATGAAATAAAGTTGATAAGTATGTAATGTGCATTTAAAACATTGCATTCAAATCTAGAAAAAAAAACACCAAGAGGACTACTTATCTGTTGTAAAAACCTTTCAAGCTGTAAATTTGGGATTTTCCTGCAGAACTCTTTGATGTTAAGTTAGAAATGATTCTTCCGTGAGCAAAAGAGATTCCATTGGTGCCAAGCATCTATGTATGCAGACTTAATCAGTTGCTAAGTTTTTTTTAAATATTTTAACATTCTTATTGTCTGTGTGTTTATCTACAGAGAGGAAATAAAATCAAGATTGATTTTATTGATTAAGAAATTGTTACAAAAAAGTGTGAGAAATTAGATTTGCGGTGGTTGTTGGTTTTCTTAAAGGCTACCAATATATCAACTCCTAGCTTTGCCAACAGATGGTGCTATGATTGTGTAAGAATGTAACCTATTAGCAAAGTACTGTATATACTTCCTGATATAATTGACCATTGCGTAACGCTATTTCCACTTCTAGAACTGAGGTTTAAATGATCATAAGCCTGAACTCAGTCTTTATATCTTCTGGAGAATTACAAGAAACTATCTGATAATAAGAGATTTTCAGCAGAAGGTCCATGATCAGTGAGGTTGATGGTGGGGCTTTGGTGCATATTGCAATATTAACAGTGGTAATGGAAACTATAGAAATTTAGAATTGAAAGCAATACTACTTCTAGCCTTAAATCCTTCTCCCCTTAGCAGCCTACATTTGAATCAAGATTTCTGATAGATGGAGAAAGATTTGCAGAGATGTTCTATTTCAAAACAGAAAAATCATTGTATAAATAATCTTTATATAATCTAAGCTGGTGCAAAATGTTTGCATGCATAGTCATCTTTATATTGCTTAGTTGCAATATAACGACACATGCAACACATTCATCCAGCTACGTGTGCTCTCAAGTTCTATTGCAAACTTTTGCTTTTTTAAAAAAACAATTATCTAGTCAGCACTGAGCAAATTCTTTTTGTTGGGATGTTTGCTTAACTCCTTTCCTAAGAACATTTATCTCCTACATCGCCCTGTCCATCCTAAACCAAGAACTTAGTTTCCTGCTACTGAGGATGAAACATGTTTAAATGCCTCCCATAAAACAGTAGCTTGATTAATATTGCTGAGATAAGTGGAAACACTCAAAATGGGACAAATAGCCAAACTTTATTTCATAGAACCCTTGAAATTGCCATATTGAACTAGAACATTTGTACATCTTACTAAATAACAGATTATTATTTTCAGTGTAAGATTGACATAGTTTTTATGGTGTCCACTCTGTCTTTATTGCACTACATAATTTAGTTGGTCTGTAAAATTATATTTTAAATGTAATATAATTAAAGCACAAAAATAAAAAGCTGGCCTACTAAACCCAGCATCCCCCCTCCACAATTAAATTTTAATTAAAAGTTATTTAATATGACTTGAACTGCTTTCCAATATGCTATTAGGGAGGAGCCATTGAATTATTGGAGGTAAAATAGACAATAATTGGGCATATAGAAAGAAACAGTGGCCTTGCTTTCTTTAATCACATGCTGTGAGAGAAATGCTGTCTTTTCCCTTTTTTAATTTATTGTATTTATCAAATATATTTGGGCAGTTTAATCTCTTGAGACCCAGAAATCTCACTTTCCTTAGATTTACTGGGGAATTTTCCAGTGGTTGGATCATCCTTTTTGGGACATACTTCTTTCAACAGCACTTTCAACAGAAATGAGATCATTAAGCTAGATAGTTCTTACACCCTCCCTCTCTATAGTCTGCAGTCGGTTTAGGGAAACCTACCATGCCTCATTGCTGGGGACAATCAGGTTATCAATTGCTATGATGATCCAAGGGATCCATGGATCTAGACATGAAGCAGCACATAGACTATTGATTATGTGCCATTAAGTTATGTTTGACTCCTAGTAACAAGATTTTTCCTTGTGTTGATCTGTCAACAATGCACTAATCAACACTGCAATTGAATCCATCCACCTTGCAGCTGATCTTCTCTTTCCTAGCATTAGCATATTTTATAGAGAACACAATAAAAGACATCTGCTTTTCTCTTGTTACCACCTTACATGTGGTCTCATATTTTGGGATCAGACAAGCAGTTCTTGCTAAGTTGTCCTGCTGATCCAAGTACTTTGTTTTCCCAAGAGCTTGAAAAGTGACTTCCTCTCCCTGTGGGGAAGCATAGCTAAGGAAAGTATCATTGTGCCTGATTTGCAGAGCATTTCAGCAGGGGCTGTCTTGACAACTACCAAAGATGAAAATGCAATTGCTCCTCAGTTGATTTTTATTCTTTTCCTCAAATCTTATTGAGTCTTCTAAAATAAGTGAGCATTCTACATTGCTGATTAGTTGTGGGAAATAGCCCTCTAGCATTAGATGTGAGTTCCCTGGTACTGTTGATTGTTCACTTCCCATGCCAATTAGACAAAGAAAAGGGAAAATAATTGAAATAGAACAGCAATTAGGAATTGACTGCCACAGATTCCTGGACACTGTTTTCACACAGCAGTTTCAGTCTTCTAAACAAGCAGGTCTTTAAGGTTCTTAGTCCAATTAACATTCTATCTATTTTTGGACCTAGGAATAGTCAAGGGTTTTCTAGTAGCTTGATACTCAACCACTGATTCCTATTTCCCAGATGCATTGTGTTATTTTCATAAAATGAGTGTGTATCCCACACACTCATTTCATAAAAATGAGTTGGACAGTGAGGAAGAATAGCTGGGAATGCACAGGAAAGAGAAGTGAGTAGGACAGAGGAATGCAATGGGGCAGCTCCAAAGGCAAAGGAGAAGGCATTAGGAAGCTACACCTTGGCTGAATTATAAAAGGGAAGGTGTGGGAGGTGCTGGTTGCCTAAGGCAACCGCTTGTGTTGAGGATTGAGTTTCTGTGGACTGTTTGTTTGCTTTGGACATTGACTCAGGTCTGAGAATAAAAGGGGTTGTTTTTTTCTTGCGGTTCTTGCCTGTTTCTTGGAAGAGGGGTTTTTCTTTGTGAGAATAACAAGGACTCACATAGGCTGGGACAGAACAACATCTTGCAGAACATTAGTGATCTAGATATGTAAAATAGTTCTTTTTTTCTACTGAAGCAAGAGGGAAGAGATTGTTAGGGATTACTATTTTGGAAATTGGACTTTTTGTAAGCAAGTCTTTCCAAGCCTGTCTGTCTGTCGCTAGGGGTCAAAAGACTTGCTTGAGAGTTGGGGTTATAAGATGGATGACTATATAAATGTTTTAATAAAATAACTTTTGATCAGGATTTGAAACCCATTAAGATGACTCTTTTCATTGACTTCATCTACATGCGTCTATACATTAAGATATTCCTTTGTAGAACTTCTTTTCTGACATCTTTCTGTGTTGACAGATGTGTTTAAGATTGTACAGTTAACTTCAGACCCCAGTGTGTTACATATATCTGTGAGCAGTTCAACCAACTTTTCCATCAATGCTTTGCTGAGTATATATGAAGAGTAGCAGCAAGTTCCTAAGCCTTTCCCTTTGTGAGACAATTCAGCCTTAATTCAGGGGTATTATCAGATGCTTCATTTGACACAAGAGGCTTGCAACGAATAGTGCCTTGTTTCTAAATCTGCTTAGAAAGAAATGCCCAACTTATTTGGATTGATTTTTATAGGATTTTTAAAGCCAGAAAATGCTGGGCTTAGAATGACATTTTTTGCTGTGGCTTCAGAATACTGTCCACTTTTTAAAACAATTTTGTCTGTACTAGGAAACAATTTTTAATACCTGTTTTTTATAACTATATCTCGTCTATCTTTAGACTTGGAACTTGCATTGACATTGATTTCCAGTCTCAAAACTACATAAAAACTATTATCTCTTCTTTATTGTCACTTTTTATCCTCACTAGAGCTGTACATAAAACAGGAAAAATTATTTAATGTTGAATCCAGAACAAAGCCATCGGTCTCCAGAGTTTCTGATAAATAGTAATGGGCTGGTCATGGTTCAGTAGAACCAAAACCCAAAATGCAGTTGTTCCATATTCTAGATGAAACAATCCAAAAGAGCCAAGTAGAGCAAGGCTGGTATATTCCACTCCCTTTATCCTTTCATTGTATCCCACACACCCATTAAGGCCCCAGTCTCCTGAGTACCTTTTCTTCGCTCCCTTCAGCCTCTGCTCCACTAAAATATATTCTATTTTTTATCCATGGAAAACTGTATAAATTGCTCGTGGTTCAAGATGCTACTTTAAAACAAGGCTGTTTTTTAACTGGGAGAGCTGCTGCTCATGGGCCAAGATGAAACAAGGCTATATTTTTATTGGAAAAGTTGTTGAGGCAGCACTCACTAGCCTGGCAGTACCACTCATAATAAATCTTAGACCTCAGAGAGGGGGAAATGAAGATAATTTTTTTTCTTGTTGTTAAACATTAAGGAGAGATACACATTCATGTATAAGCACACCATTTGTTACAAATTATAATTGATAAATGTAAGCCATATTGACAGAAATCTATTTATAGTTACTATTATAGCACCATAAAAGCAATCACAAGTTTTCTTTTATTTTTCAAGACAAATTAATTATTTACGCCACAATTTGTAGTAGAATTTGCTCTTAAGATGGTGTTTGATAGAAAGTATCCACAATCTCCTGAAAGAGCTTCAGTTTGTAGGAATTTTTATCCTGGTAAATGATGTTAAATCTTTTGCCTTTAAATGTGCTATAAACATTAATATTTAAAAATAATGCTGAAATCTGATTGCATTACAAATCTAGGGAGCAATCAAGTAAAGAAAATACATTCTTTATAGTTTAATTACATTACATGAACATTAATAGATTTAAATGCTATTTGCAGGGTTGGCTGAAATGTTCTGCAGTCCATCAAATGCAAAACAGAAAAGGTTTGTACCAGAAACTCAGATAACAAGACCAGAAATGAATGCATCAGAAGAATCTGGTATGTTTTATTGTGTATACATTCTGAATAATGACCTTCACAGATGTATTTAGTGTAGATTACTTTGTCATTCATCCCAAAGATAAGTCCTACAAATCAATGAGGTTTGGTTTTTAGAATGGAAGGAAACCTCTTCTACATCAAGACCTCTCTTCTCTAAAACTGCTAAGTCTATGTGGAGTTCTTCCCTTATTGTAGAGGTTTCAGGTCAGTCTTTCCTTGCAGACCCCACCAGAATTTCAGGTGTGCTTTGAGTAAAAAGAGAATCCTCTTAGGGATACAAGCCAAATAAACAAAGTGTCATGGTTCCGACAGATGTTACTCTTCAAAGAACTTTGAGGCATTGTTTACCTTAAAGAATCTTTATTCAAGTAGCATGGCATCGGTACGTACATAGTCAAAACCAAAATCTGAATTCCCCTCCCCTAAACACATAGTATCAAAGCACAATTCTCTCCTCCAATTAACAGTCCAAACATTCCCTCCAGTTCCATAACCCGCCATTTCTTATCGTCTTATTTTGAACAACCTTGAAGAATACTCTACTGCAATATTGTTATGTCTAACTAATCCCCATACACATTCTTCCCCCTCCCCCCCCTTAGCATCATCTAATTCTAATTCTAAAAGTAACACACAGGTTAAAGAGAAAATGGCTACATCTTCATATATTGTCAAAGCAAGAACATCCGACGTTAGCAGCGTTGACACAAAGGCAGAGAATTTTGGATAGATATATGAGTTTTTATTAAGTCACTGAGCTACATCAAGTTGTGAATACTGAATAAAATGTATGGTCTAATCCAGAGTTCCCTAAGCTTTGCACACCGGGGGGGGGGGGAATGGTTCTTCGCGAGAGGCCAGCAAATAAACCCAAAGAAAGTGATAATGAAAATAGGACATAACGTTCATTCCTTGCATTACTCTGTAAAGATGTTTTAGGGGGAAAATGAAATAATTAGCCAGCTGAGATAACATCCATTCAAGGAGCAACAGTTTTAATGGCTTCAAATTTAGGTCTCAGGTTAGAGAAATACATACAACTGTTTCTGGATTTGATTTCACAATTTATATTAATGGAATAAACATACTGTCCTCTGATTGGCAGATGGCTGTAGATTTTGGCTCTTCTACTACTTAGAAGTTGCCATGTTTCAAGTGTTCAGTCTGCTTAAGGTACAATCCCATTTATAATATGTATGTTTTCCATTATGAGTACTTTGTTTTGATTTTAATTCATTTTTAATATTCTCGGTGTAATTTGTTTTTTATGTTTCTTGTTTCATTCTAAAATGTATACAGAGTCTTATACATAATTATTTTAAGTAATATTCCTTTACATTCAAGTATATTTTTGTTATATAGTCAGTGAAGTTTCATTACTGTTATCATTTTTCTATTTGTATTAGAAAAAACGTCCGTTTTGGATTTTAAGATTTCAAGCCAAAAAATAGCTTACGATCAAGATGTAATATCTCCAGCTTTGGAAGAAGTATCACAAGTATCCATTCACGACAATTTAATGATATCACTAAATGAAAGAAATATAATGGGGATGGAAGAAAAAAAACTGCAACAAGAACCAGAGCCAGTCAGACAGCTTTTGGAAATCAAGAGGCTCTTGAAGACACCTAAGGAAAAGCCTGAACCTGTTGATGTGCTTTCAGGGGTCAAGAGGCTCCTGAGGACACCCAAGCAAAAATCAGAGCCAGTGGAGGCACTTTCAGCAGTCAAGAGGCTTTTGAAGACACCTAAGGAAAAATCTGAACCTGTTGAGGTGCTTTCAGGGATCAAGAGGCTTTTGAGGACGCCTAAGCAAAAGTCAGAGCCCGTCGAGGCGCTTTCAGCAGTCAAGAGGCTCTTGAAGACACCTAAGCAAAAGTCAGAGCCAGTCGAGGATCTTTTAGGACTCAAGAGGCTCTTTAAGACACCTAAGGAAAAATCTGAACCTGTTGAGGATCTTTCAGGGGTTAAGAGGCTCTTGGAGACACCCGAGCTAAAATCAGAAGCTGTGGAGGTGTTTTCAAGAATCAAGACGTTAAAGACATCCAGACAGACTGTGGAGCCTCTTTTAGATGATATCTATACTAAATCTATGATAACTACTGAAGAAGTAAAAAACATGGTTGGAAGTGTTATCAGAAATCAAACACAACCTATGGAAGATACACATATTAATGACATTATTGAGAAAGTTAAGCAAACTGTGAGGCCAATAGAAGATAGGGAAAATATTCAAATGATGTCACCAGAGCTAGTTGGGTGTACTCAGACATTGAAAACCTCAAAACCAAAATCTATGCCAACTGATGACTACTTCGGATTGCAGAAGTTTATGATTGAACCTAAAGAGAGTTCTGTAATTCCCGATATAGATTATACTGGTGTCAAAGACATGAACACTGAAAGTGATACGGTATGCTTATTATATCAAATTTTGTACTCAGTTTTATTTAAGTAACCCATGCTTTAGTAACCTAGAAGAATTGACATAATCTATTTTTATTACATAATAACATTTTGAAATACTGAGATCAATTATTTTAATCCCAGGAAATTCAAATGACAACTAGATAGTTACTTTGACTTTTGGATTTAGGGCTAAACATTGTGATCTTGTGGTAATTGGCTACTTTAATTTTTACACTAAAAAATTAAAATATTTTGGTAGTATTGCAAAACAGATTTTTTAAAAAAATATTCCTATGCATCTTACTGTCACTGCCAGCTGTAATACTTCATATTTGGACATATAGCCTATCTTGTGTTATTATATTTTTTAAAATACATAATATAAATTTGGGTAGCACTCATTGTCTGTTAATATAAAATGGGATTATGTAAAACATTTCATTGAGAAGCACAGCTTTTTGAAACACTATGCTTTACCTATGCATGCTTTTGTAAGCACAGTTACTTTAATTTGCTGGCAGTTACAGCATAAGTGTAGTCTGTATGCACTTAAACAAATTTGGAAAAAGTGTTCAGCTGCACTGTTTCCTGAGCCTAGCCTTACAAAATACAAGCTGCATCATTCAAGGAAGGGTACTGGAACATTTTTATAAGTGAGAAATATTTTGATGTCAGCTATTTTAATAACTAATTATAGGTTGAAATGCCAGAGTCTGTGAATCTTGTGGAAGAAAATGGATCTTATATCAGTTCCAGAAATAAAGTGGGTAAGTATAAAGTTTATTTCATAAAAAAACAGGATTTGTATATTCTTTTGAATGTATACTATAACATAGGTAAATGAAGATGTGTTTCTGTTTTATTCAGGCAGAAAAGTTTTTTCTAGAATTTTACATATTTTAATTTTGATAAAATTGTTTCACTGCAGTGAAAATTCATGAGAACTGTTTTTTAAAAATTAGTAAGAGTAAATTTAAAATTAATACAAATTTTAGAATATAAATATTAGGTCAGTATTCTAAAAAGAAGCTTGTATGTCATTACTGAGATACTTACATAAATGTTTGTCCAAAGTAAAAAGAAAGTTACCCCAAACATCAGTTCAAAACTTCATTTTTCTTAATGACTGTGTTCTTAAAAATATATTTGAACATGTTTTATTTCAGAGTCTGTGGAAAATGTGCCTGGAAGTTGCAAAGGAAACCTGGAAATTGCATTTGAAAAAGAATCTCAATTTCCAGTAACAAAAAATAACAGTAGTGTTCCAAACTATGTCGGCCATGTTGCATGTAATTCATTTAATGAATTGAAAACAGAGTTCAATAAGGAAACAATCAGAGCAATATCTCTCTCTGAAAACTACCAACCAGATGGAATCAGTTCCAAAAATGAAGCCAAAACTGATTTTGTAAATGAAGCAGCTGAAAATTCTGATGCATTAAAAACAGAAAAGCTCGAGCCACTTGCTTTGGCTAGAACTAGGAGAAGGAAAATAAATGACTGCAGTCCTGTGGTATATACAAAGACAATTCAGAGACCTACAAAGAGCAGATCAACATCAGCTAATTGTGAGCAAATCAGTGAAAGTTTTGACAACCATACAGAATTAAATTCATTGCACAAATCTGAAAGCAATTGTACAACAATTGAAGCAACCAAATTATCTCGGAGAGGAAGACCAAAGAAGCAGCATGTTGAAAGAAATCGGAATATAGAATCTGATAACATAAACCATACTCAGGAATTAGAAAAACCTTTAAAGGAAACAACAGTGGAAAAGCAGCCTGTGAACAGGCAAAAAGCGGCAACTAAAAGAAAAGGAGAAACTGTAACAAATGTGGATTTGGAAGAAAATGGACCAGTTCAAGAAAATGAAAGTGATTTAACCGCCAAAACACGGCTAAGGTCTAGAAATGTAAAAAAGAATGCAAGTGACCTAAAGACAACGTTTGCCAAAGGTAAAACAAATGATACAATGTCAGGGGAAGAGAGTAATAAAAGAAGAAAGATTGCTGTAATACAATTAAGCCCAGAAACATTAATCACAACTTTGAATGAAGATAAGCAAGGAGGGCAAAAATGTACAATATCTAAAATATGTAAAACCGAAGCTTCAGAAAATAATCTAACAGCAATGGAAGAAAATTTAGTGAAGAAGAAGAAAAAAACAGTTCAATTTTTACTTAATGACTTTAAGGCTTCTGAACAAAAATGTGCACTTGGATATGAAGGTAATACTTATGAAGAAGAAAGTCAAACTGAAAACATTTCTAATGGGATTCCAAAGGTTCCCTTGGAAAGCATGAAAACTTCTACAGAGTCCAGTCCGCCCAAAATAGAAAAGCTATCAAAAAAGAATCTGCCTAGCAGAGGCAGAGGCAAAAAATCGGTTTCCAGCCCTTCTGTGGAAAGTGACAGTAAATCAGTCTCTGATGTGAAAGATCATGATATGATTGTCAGTCTAAAAGAAAATCAGCCCAAAAGGGGCAGAGGGAGAAAGATAGTTCAAGTGTTCCCCAAACCTTTTCCTTTAGAAAATAACACTTTTGGAGAAAAGGATTCAACAATAAACAAATGCCTTTCATCCCAAGGCGGATGTTCTTTGCTACAAGTTCAAAATGAGAATTTTGAAAAATCTGAAATGTTGCCATTAGAAAATGGGCAACGTTGTGAAGGGCACATTCCACCAAAAAGGGTAGTAAAAGAAAATCCACCCAGGAGAGGAAGAAACAAGCAAGTCAATGAAATATCGGGTAATGAAGCAGCTGATGTCCAAGGTCTAAATATGGCCACCAGACAAGAGGATAATCAGTCCAAAAGGGCGAGAGGGAAAAGAAATGCTGAAGAATCCTGTTCACTGAAGAGCCAAAGGATAGTGAAAGAGAGTCCACCCAGGCGGGGCAAACATAAAAAAACTATTTCTGGTGACATATCTACAGATTTTGACAGTACACAGATGGCCACTATACTAGATCAAAATATAGATGGTGAAAATGCTTGTCTTGCAAAGGATGATCAATCAAAAGTAGGTGGAAGAACAAGAAGCACTTGTACTACAGTTGAAGCAACCAAATTATCTCGGAGAGGAAGACCAAAGAAGCAGCATGTTGTATCCCAGAAAATCCCTTCTGTCAAAAGTGACACCTGCAATTTGCTGTCATCAAACAAAGGGGAACATTCAGGTGAACATCCAAATGAAGATTTGAAATCAGCAAGTAATGCAAATGAGAATTTCACATACAAATGTAGAAAAAGAAAAATAGTTCATGAAATTTCAGCAAACTCAGTTTCTTCCAGTAAAAAATCTGAATTTATTGATAATGACATTCAAGTAAATAGAAAGAAAGATTCAAAAGCTGTATCAAAACAAAGTACATCCAGAAGTAAAAGAAAACGATTAACACCTTGTGAAACATCAGCAGAAAGTAATGATGAGCTAAGAATTAATAGTAAAAAGAGTCAACCAGTAACAGATATTGTGGGTCCTTTAGAAAATAGTTTTGAAAAAAAGCGCCAGTCAAAGAAGCAAAAAGAAGAAACTAATATTGTATCACTAGTCTCTCCCTCACTGAAAGTGAACATCACTTTGTCACCATCTTCTGCTGCTGAAAATCAAAGTGGAAATTGCAAAAATTCTGTTGGAACAAGGAAGTTAGCAAAACTTTCTGGTACACACAATATAATGACACGCTCTCTCAAAGGAAAGTGCATTATTTCAAAAGAAGAGTTTGTTCATGAAACCCAAAACAAAGATTTGCAGCAAACAGTTACGGCAACTGTGATCAATCGAAGAAGAGGTAGAAGAAAAATTAATAAACTTGAGGCTGCTGTTTCTCCTCTCAAAGAAAAACTTACATTATCTGCAGGCAGTGATAATTTTCCTAATGAACAAATTCTAAATAATGTTTCTAATAATAAAATTTCTTCGAAGGGCAAGGGACCAAAATTTCTTGAAATAAAAAATATGACCCAAAACATCAATCAAAGTAATTCGTCTAATTATGACCAAAATAAAAATCTTAAGCACCCAAATATGCCAGTGCAAAAGAGTTCATCAGAACGTGGAAAAAGAAAACAAATTAACAGTTCAGAAACAATTACCACTGCTAACATGGTGAAAAATGTAATTCCAGGAAAGAAATCAACAGTCTCTAAAGCAGGTATGTTATCTTTTGTCTTAGACTAGTAAGTTTTATTCTTACTCTTTAGAATTAAAGATATAATCCAGTAAAACACAGGTTTCCTCCTGATCTTATCTTTCTGCTCCCAAATTGTATTTGAATGGGATTTTCAGTTTTGGCATTTTATTTATTCTGGAATCTTAATATCAATAGAGCGTAATGGTTTAAGAAGGACGCACCCCAAAAGGTCCACAAATGAGCCCAAACCAATACACAGGTTTTGCATTTTAAAATTCACTCTGGAACCTTAATATCAGTTTACCAGAAGAATATGTACAGAGTGCAGTTGAGAACTCAAGAACTCAGTCCAGATCAATACATACTTCACTTAAAAGAGGATTTTTTCCTTTCTTGGTTATGGATTGGACATGCAGCTTAGAACTCCCATTTCTCCATAAATGCAGGAACTTTCAGAAGATTCTGAAGAAGCTCTTGATAATAGATCATTAGTTACATGTGTGCTGTATATCTTTTTCAATTCTTAATTCTATTGACTATTGGAAGGATTTATTTTTGCTCATAGTAATAGATTAAATTGTCCTGCCCAGAAATGCAGTATTTTGTTAACACTCCCAAATAATGCTCTTTTTTAGTGTGATAATTTGTAGATGTATTATGATTACAGTTTTCAAAATTCTTGGTACTATAGCGACAATATATCTAAAAGGCATCAGATTGATTAATACTATCAGTTTGAATGAGAGAATATAAAATTAATTAGGCACTTTTATTCTGTTCTCTACATTTTGGGACTTATATTTCCTGGGGCTTTAGAGAAGAAATAGCATGCATCCCTCTTCAGAATGTCTTAAAAGTGTGCTGGAGGTTTTCCTGAATTTAATTGATTTTAATCCTACTGGATTATTTCAAAGTTCTGTGTGTGTGTGCATTTGTGTTTATTCCAAATAATTTATTGCTCTAGGAAGAATTCTTGTAAATATTGGTATCATATTTTTTCCACAGAAAACACTGAGAGTATAACAGTGCAGACAAGAGGAAAAAAGAAAATGAAAGAAGAGAATACCATTCTGATGATTGAACTGCCTAGAGAAACAGAAGGCAGGACAAGAGCAAGCAAAAGAATAAGAAAATAGATTATAATATTTGCTCTGGGTGCACTTTTTTAATCTGAAAACCTTAAAACTTTGAAATTGAAATGTTTCAACATTCAGTTCAACTTGACATTGACAATATCTGATGCAAATATTTTGTAAATAGCTTTTCCTATTATTTTTAATATTTTTTGTTTAAAATATCAAAGGATTAGGAATTTAACTTTTAACTACTCTGATTTTATTGTCTACAAATGTTTAAATGCTAATGCTATTGTACTTATGTGTTTCAAAATTAAAAACATACTTAAGCAGCATTGCTTTATATGATCCGATTGAAGCCAAGATGTTTGCCAAATTAGCATAGGTTGGGCACAGTTCTTGGAATCATGCTCATGTTAGCTCTTCTTGTACACTGCATAACTATTGTAATGATTACCAGGGTGAAAAACATCAGCTATTCAGAACATAGGAATCTGATTTTGTAAAAGCCCAGTATTTTGTCTGTTTAGCACTATCCCTAATCTTGCGGGCAAGTCTGGAAGATGGTTGATTAGCAATCCTATTGCAGGGTATGTACCGAGGCTGGGGGAAAAATGGTTTGTAAGTTTGGATAAACTGCTGGACAGGTTATCATACTGTCAAAGCAAAATGCAGGTAAGTTAGATATCCCAAGTTTTTGCCGACCCAGATTCTTGAAAATTGGGTGCAAGTAACCGTATACAATTCTTTTCACTTCCCACATGTAGTTTTGTGTGCCAACCTTCAAATTTTCTCAGGACCTTACTGCACCATAGCCTTTAAATTCAAGTGAGGTATGATCCATCTACCCTAACTTTTTACTATGTGCTAGCTTTTTTGAAAGAAAAGTTTATAGACATTTCAACAGTTGGATTGCCTTCACTCAAAACTCATTTTGCAAACTGTTGAAGTTGTTACAATCTTTTACTCAAAGTTCTTGAAGTGGCAAAAGACTGTTCTCTTAATTGGTTAGTAAGAAATATTAACTAATTTGCAAATATTTCAGGTTCTGAACATACTGTTATATCATGAGTATTGGTACTGCCTGATGATTCCTGAATTCTGCTTAGAACATTCCAGGAATAAAACGTTTGTTGCATTCTTTGCCCTATTTTTGCATATCCAGAATTGTAGTTCATTCCATTTCTTATCTCTTTTTAATTACACTTTTTAAATATAAATATATTTTTTCTTCCAATTATTAATATAAAGTGGCTAGTGAAAAAGTGATGTATGGTGATGTCTAAAATTTTTAATGTTCAAATTTTGTATCTGGTGGATTTGTTCTAATTTTGTTTCATTTTATCCAACCCTTTTTAATCTGACATTTAAATTCTACATATCACATATCACATTGAATTGATTTCTCATTTACCAAACATCTTTAGTGGGAAGCACTTGGCAGTTTTAAGCTCACAATCTAACATTTACTCATCAGCAGCTTTACTTGCTAAGATGGTCATCCATAAATTCAGGAGGTTATTCACCTGTGTCCCTTTTAAAAGTAACTATATTGTCATTCATTTCTGATGAAATAGTTTGTACTTTAAGTCAGTAACCATTGTTCCCATGTGAAGCTTCTACACAATTTACAATCAGGAACTATATCATTTCTTGACTTATTTAATTTTCTTTGAAATGCAAGCTGTTTCTGGGTATGGCCAAATAAAATTATTAAATTAAACACTGCATTATTAAGTGTAGGATATTCTAATGAAGGACGACATGCCTTGTGTAACTTAATGCTGATATATCGTAAAGGAGAGAGTTGGGGCGGAAATCTTCCATGCATGCTTTCTTAACTATACTTTGTCATTTGGTACACCTGAACTAAACCGGCAGCTTCAGTTTTCTTTACATGATTGCAGAGCAATTAATTGTCTTACATGCCTTTGCTCTGTGCTAGGTCAAATAATCCTTCAAAAGTCATTTTTGTAATATCAGATCTGCATAGATCAGCCTGCCATTTTGCCAAGGATTTAGTAGGTTGGCTAGAACTACAGTCTATCTGAGTAATTTTAAGATAGGAATTCTTCAAAGCTTTATATGACACTTTAACTTCAATGTTCTACAAGACAATAATTCTTTTTTCCCCTTAAGTGTCATTCTATTAAACATAACTAAGAAAAATTCTTTGGCTGCATTACCCATGCATATAAATATCAAAACTATTAAAAGTTTTCCCAGGACTCAGTAGCATTACTGGACATCTGTTGATATTCCCATTCATTTTTGCATCCCATTCCTATTTCCACATGTACAGTATTGATAAAAGGGAGAATACACATACAGGTAGTCCTCAACTTATGATCAAAATTAGGCCCAGAATTTTTATTGCTAAGTTAAGCAAGACAGTTAAGTGAGTTTTCTCCCATTTTACTATTTTGCCACTGTTCTTAAGTACATCACTGCAGTTGTTAAAGTTAGTAATAGTTAAGTGGCTCTAGCTTTCACACGACCCTGGGACACTGCAACCAACATGAGTCAGTTGCCAAGTGTCAATTCTGATCACATGATCATGGGGATGCTATAATGATTGTAAGTGAAAAATGGGTCTTCGGTTGCTATTTTCAATGCCACTGTAACTTTGGTCACTAGACTAACACTTCCTATAACTGAACAGTTTATGGACAGCCTCTAGCTTCTAGTATGTGTCAAAGTAGGTGTTAGCTAATTGCTGATCCTAACAGTGGCTACATCAAGCAAAAGAATAGACAAAAGTGATTAAAGTAACTGAAACTAATGCAAATTCATGACATAAAAGCTCTCAATAGCAGGTTAATAGCCTATGCCCATGGTGGTAAACCTTTGGCACGCAGAGCCTCTGGGCACGTGCGCCATTGCTCCAGTCCTAGGCCTTCAGCTGCGTTTTATAAAACCTTTTCGCTTTAGGCCTCTGCCTCTGTGTAAAAAAAAAAACAAACTGGTTCAAACAATTTCAACTTCTCGCAGGAAAAAAAAAGATCATGCAAAGTTGGAAATGATTGAACTTTTTAGTCCCATCCAGTCTGCCGTTACCACTGTGGCCACACCCACCCAATGGGCCATGGGCCTTTAACTAAGGAAAAGCTAGCTAGATAACCAATGAATGGTGTTGACTGCATCTGAAGAGAATGGCTGAGATACCAAGTTTTTGCTTGTGCTTTTATTTGATTTTTAGGATCGCTGTGATCTGTCTTAAGAGTTTTCTTTCTGAAAATAGAAGGCCAAATATGTATTTTAAATAAAATAACCAAACTACTGAATTCTGAACCAGCAACTTCTATAAACGTTAGACCAAATTTGTCCAGTCCATGCCTGCAGGCCACATGTGGCCCTGGACAGCTGCTAATGTGATCCCACAAGATCAGAAATTTTTATTATATGATTTTTAGCAATATATACATTAATTACATTAAATATTTTATATGTGGCCGAAGACAACTCTTCACTCAGTGCAGCTCAGACAAGCCAAAAGGTTGGATGCCTGTGTCTTAGACAAAACTCTTGTACCTCTGCTATTTTTCATACCATAGCAAACTGTTCTTTCAAAATTGTGTTTCTCAAATCTCAGCATGGCTGGCTGTGGAATTCTGGGAGTTGAATTCCACACATCTTCAAGTTGCTGAGGTTAGGAAACACTTTCCAAGAAGATCTTAGATCAGATCAACCACTGCCTCAATGTATTTAAAAAAGTTAAATCAGAGCAACTAGACCAGTGATGGCGAACTTTTAGAGACCAAGTGCCCAAACTGCAACCCAAAACCCACTTATTTATCGCAAAGTGCCAGGGCTGCATCAGCATTGTGCCCTTGGGCGGGTGGGGGGCATGGCCCACTGGGTGGGTGTGGCTGCAGTGGTCACGGCAGACTGGGTGAGCGGAGTCAGGGCAGCGGGGGCCAGTCCCTCGCCATCTCTGGGGCATCTCCAGGGGGCCAACGTCGCTTGTTCGCTCACTTCCTGCCCTGTTGCTTCCAAACACCATGTGCTCGTTACTCTGGTGGGACAACGGCACGCATGCCATAGATTCGCTACCACTGAACTAGATCAAAGTATATTAAACTGAAATGTTTCGCTTCCCATCCAGGAAGCTTCATCAGTCAAAATAGAAAAAAAAAAATAGTTGTTGGAATGTACCAACTTGCCTCACCAATTGCGGGTGTTATCCCCCAAACTTTTCTTATTTTGATTGGTGAAGTTTCTGAATGGGAAGCAAAACATTTCAGATTAACATACTTTGGTCAAATTGCCCTGATTTAACTTTTTAAAATACTTTTGGCCTGGATGATTGAGTCTTTGTTGACACATTGCCTCAATGGAGTTAGTGATCCTGCTTTTGGGAAGTAGTCAGTGAACGGCTGGAGTTAGCCTGCAAGGAAGTAGAGTGCTCCAGCCCACGTGGACAAGAACACTTGAAAAGGAAGGGACCATTTTAAAACAGCAGGAAAATGGAATTGGTGATTGAACTGGCAATTTAAAAGAGGTAAGGAAGAGTTGGTCTCATCGGAGGAGTCAAAAACTGACTTCACAGGTTTTCTTTGGGAAGAAGAAACCCATCTTGGGTGTTTCGTTTTATAGTAGTATCTCTAGTTGTCATTCTATCATAAAACTACTCTTGCTTTATCAGATAAAATTGCCTCTGGAGAGAGTGCAGAAGAACTAGAAATCCAGTTTTATAGGGAGTAAAAAAGTCAAGATGGCTGTGTGAATGAACCAGTATGTCTTTGCTATCTTGGTTGTGTGATTGTGGCTACTCTTGTGATATTTTTGACCAACTGTTATGTATTATTCAGATGCTCTTAATCTGTTCATCATATTTATGTACCTTTAAAAAAAGGCACAACGTCAGCACTAGTCCTGGAGTTCAGGGGTCTTCAAACTTGGCCCTTTTATGACTTGTGGACTTCAACTCCCAGAATTCCTCAGCCAGGCACGCTAGTTGGTGCCTTAGTGATGATCATGCCCCATCTGACTTAAAATGTTGAAAAGGTGTTCAATTTGAAGAACATTTATTTCAAAAACAACACTGCAAAGGAAATGCCAGTTTTCAAATTACTTCTAATAACACCTTTTGAACTCATGTACTTCATAAAGAATTCCTCCATAATTAAAAAAATGGCAAAATGTATGGTAGTACCATAAGAATTTTGCCGGGAAGTATATTCCAAAGGAAATGGAGGCAGGGAACATTCTGGATATAGGTAAGGCATATTCTCATCCGTTTGTCTTCTCATAAGATGGCAAACCTTTTGTCTCTTCATATCAAAAACTTGGAAAATGCATGTTGAGAAAGAGAGAGAGCCAAACAACAGAGAAATAATTTTCTAATCTCTCACACACACACCACCCCCCAGGCCACCCTAATCGGCAGTACTTGGAGACAGGTCTTAGCATCATGGCTGCCATCAAAAATGCAACCTCAGGCTGTTCCCCAAGAGGTGCAAACTTTGGGAAACTGATTGCTCCATTGCCTAGCTCCCCCCAGAAAATTGCATAAGAGCAACGTTTGCTTTCAAGAATAGTTGTTGGATGTTGATGAACACTGGCATGTCCACCTTTGATACACATGTCATAGGTTTGCCATCACTGGACCAGACACATGCTCAACATTTGCAGGACACCTGCCAGTCATATTGGGAAATACAAGTATAAGTCAATCCATTTTAAATTTCTTCCTGGTCAAACAACCTCCTCTTTTTGTTCTTAAAATTGTGCTTTTCATGTTAATGATTTTCAAGTTACCATACGCTCTGGATGTGATTCTTTTTAATTGACATTGAGAAACAATTTGTGGCTGGCTATTTTGCCTGTACTTTAATATCAGTGTAGAGAAAGGTGTTCTCTAAAACAATATCCAGTCCTAAAGTAGCACTCTAAAGCAATGTTTCTCTACCTTTGAAAGTTTAAGATGTCTGGATTTCAATTCCCAAAAGTCCTCAGCCAACATGCTCTAGTCTAAAGGAACTATCAAGTCCTTTTTTAGGACATTAATGATTTTCCCTCCCTAACTATTGTATTATAGTCATTAATAACCAAAAGTATAATAATAGAAGGTGAAGAATGGTTAAAAGTTCCTGCTCCTGAAGATATTTTTCTGGGTTTGATAGTAACTTATGTTGATATCTTAGTATATAAGTGTAATGTAGGTTTTATTTTAGACTTTTTATGTATCATTCCTCCACGCAGTTTGGAGCAGTGCAACTATTTAATTGAAATATTTCAGCAATCTATTCTTTCAGTCTCAATATACT